GCACATATCATTACTGCTAGCTTTTGTTATAAAATCTGGTGGAATGCCATCAGGAGATGGTCATGTTGGGAAACCTTCCGGAGCTGCAGGTGTTCCCAGGGACATCAATTTGGAGCTCAGAGGTGGCGTATGGCTGAGTCTTCTCATTTCCCAGAGAAGCAGACAGGAGTATCCTCTCCTCACTCCACAGTTGTGCAATTTTGAAGCTAAATTTATCCATGATTGCAAAACGCCTTCGGTCAGTGCACTTCTAGTTCCATTCAGTTTTAAAGAGTTGGTTTTCTAGAATTTAGTTTTCCAGTTTTGAAGAACTTCTTTAATTCCCGTAATTCCTGGGGTTTCAAACTCTGATCCACCCCTGGGGTCAATTTATAGCTCAGAGGAGACACAATGTAACCATTGTGGTAAAGACAAATTCTCTTGCAGAACTCAAAGGTACCAAACATAACTCCAAAATATGGAACTACCTGTTTAAAAATAAAATGAAAATCATGTTAAAAATCTTAAAAAGTGTCAATGTGTCTGCAATCAATTTGAGTCAGGGTAAACTGAGTTAAAGGCTGTGGATAATACAACATAGTAATTCTTTTTGGGAATCAGAGAGGATGGGGTGGGGGTGAGGAATGGCAGAGCAGTTGAAGGGCCCAGGAGAACACAGTCTGGATTAATATGCAGGTAGACAATCTGACACTTCTTGTCAACATATGCTTGTCTTGACTGAAACCATTTATGTGTCAATTAGTACAAGGTTTAGTCCAGAGTTCTTTTTTTCCATCATAGAATGTAATATGTGATTTTTTTCCCCTTTTTCAATCCTCTCCTAAGCATGTGTTTAGAGAGTGGGAGAGAGAGAGAGAAACATCGATCAACTGCCTCCCGCATGCACTCCGACTAGGGATGAAATCTGCAACCTAGGTAATTGAACCCACTGGGTTCAATTGACTGGGAATTGAACCCACAACCTTTTGGTGTACAGGATGATACTCCAACCAGCTGAGCCACCCGGCCAAGGCAGTCTAGAGTTCTTAATCTTTTTTTTGGTCATGGAGTTTTTTTGGAGGAATACAATGAAAGCTATGGATCCTTTCCCCAGAGAGAGGCACATATGCACACACATCTGCATTTTCACATACAATTTTAGGATGGAGGGTTAGGTTCCCTTTGGGAGTCCATGAACCCCCATGGTAGGAACCTGTACACTAAATGGTCAGCTCCTTTGGGATGGGTTATCAGATGCCCCAACACTGCACAGGATCCTCTCTCTTCAGGGCTGACATCTAGGTTGCACTTGAGGACCTTGGGCTACCATCAATGCTAGAGGGGACACTTCCATGCAAACTGTCCTAAGAGTGGCAAAGGAACAGGCTAGAACTAGAAGAGGCAGAGAAATAGTAGAGACTGACCACTGTTCTCACCTTCAGTAAGTTGGCTGCCAATCCATTCCAGAGTCCCAGTACCCCATGGGCCTTCACTATCTGCCGGAAGCAGTCCGTGGCTCCTGAGAAATGGACATCTACTCCTCCACAGCGGGGAAGGTAGGGGCTCTGAGCCTGACGGAAATAGAAGTTGGGATGAGGTGATGTAGTCACCAGGAAATAAATGTTCTAGTCAAATTAGCTAAGGTCTCAAGTCTGGATTCTGGATGCCATGCTCCTGTCTAAGAGGATGGCAAAGAGAAAGGCTGTCATGGGGCTCCTCTTGTTCCATGGGCTTAGAATGAATATGAACATGCAGTAAAGTCATGGCACATTGCTCACAAATTTGTGGCTTATTTTGCTTGGAAGGAAGCAGCCGTTTGGGACAGACTCAACTTTACACTTAACGTTCCTTCCCAACTTATGCCTTCTAGATATGTTCAACACACACTCCCATGTAGTTAACCTTTTGAAGTGCTCCTGTTTACTTGTCTTAACTGATTCATCCCCTTGTTTATTGTTTATTTTTTAAAATAGTAACAAACCCACAGATACAAAGACATCAATTTTTATTATTTTTTAAGTTGATTGATTGATTGAGAGAGAGAGAGAGAGAGAGAGAGAGAGAGAGATATTTGTTGTTCCACTTACTTATGCATTCATTGGTTGATTCTTGTATTGCCCTGACTGGGGATGAAATCTGTAACCTTGACGTATCAGGACGATGCTTTAACCAATTGACCTACCCAAATAGGGTCGCATCCTCACCCCAGTCCCCCCCCGCACCCACTGAACAATAAAGATTAAAAATAAATAAATAAATAAAACCATCCATGATTGGAATCACTCCTAGAGACTGCGATTTAACTGACCCAGGTTGAGACCTGGACATCAGCATTTTGGCAAGCTCCTCAAGTGGTTCTGATGTGCAGCCAGAGTTGTGTAGGCCCTCCAAAGCACAAGGCTGCTCAGGGCTCAGACCTGAAACTCCTAGCTTGCTGCTGATACTGAGAGTGCTTGAGAACAGTACATGGGCCCTAAAGCCCGACTGTTTGGACTGAGTCCCTGCTTTGCTACTCATTAGCTCTGTGGCCTTGAGCAAATGCCTGACTTTTCTGAGCTTCAATTTCCTCATCTATCCAATGGGTAATAATAACACCTACCTTATAGGATTGTTGTCAAGATTAAATGAAATACATATAAAATGCTTAGAACAGCCTTTGACATATAGCAAGCACTAAAAAGTAACCACCATTATTAATATCATTATTATTTATTATCTAAACTTGGAGAAGAGACAAGTATGCTGAAAACTAGACTGGAATGTTAGACTGCCATTTACCCAAATGGTATCTTACTAGTACAGAAAAACAAACATGTCAGGCTGCTAGTCACAGGACCTGAACTTAAACACTCCCCCATGATCCCAGGCAATTATCCCACAGATGTCTAGTTTAGTTCTATAGATCCCAGGATGGGCATGCTGTTTTTTTTCCCCTTTGAAGTTTGTTACTATTTTTCTTAGAAGACTAAAAGTGAAGATAACAGTAGGATTAAAAATTAGTAAAATATTTCTAAAACATAACAAACCAATGGACAAAATTATATTAAATAATTTGTAAAACAATCAATAAATAGTATAAAAGTAGGAAAGAGGAAAGTACACTATAAAATATTTTTAAACTAAAATGATAAAATGCGGTCAATTGCAACTCATACTCAATATGTGCTAACTTTTGATAGCATTGTAAACTTTCTTTTTTAGTTTTCCAGTATATTTTTCTGTTTATTTCTTTTAAAAAATCTTTGTTGAAAGTATTAGATGTCCCCCCTTTCTTCTCCCTTGTTCCCCATACCCTCTGTTCCAACCCCACCCCATGCCTTCACCACCTATTGTCTGTGTCCATGGGTAGTACATACTAGTGTATGCATATAAATTATTTGGTTAATGTCTTCTGCCCTCCCCCCTACTCCCACCCTGAGATTTTCCGGTCTGTTCCATGTTTCCAGGTCATGCTGCTTTTGCAGCAAAGCACCATCTGAAAAGAAATCAGAGGACACAGGTCCTACTCCTTGGCTGTGCCATTATCTATATAACCTTGACCAAGTCGTTTAGTTCTTTGAATCTAAGTTTGTTCACATGTCAAGTGAGGAAATTAGAATTAAATGACCTTGAAGGCCCTGTCTTGATCCTATAATCCATGCTGTTGGCCCTACTGTACGTTCCTGACAATAAGCCTTCAACCTGCCATTTCCTCTGCCTAGCCGAGTCTCTCTTACTGATCAGAATACATATCACTTCTTCCAGGAAGTCTTCTCAGATCCCCAAAGTCAGGAGTCTAGTAAACACATTTGGTCACCCTGTACTTCTCCTTTATGGCATGTGACACACTCTGTAATGATCTGGTGTATAATTATTTCTTTCATGTGTACTGCCCCCGACAGCCCCGGCCTCCTGAGCTGTAAATACCATGAGGGCAGTGACCATGTCTGTCTTGTTTGTGGTTTTATTCTCAAAGCCTACCAACATGCCTGGCATATAGCATGTGCTTAATACATATTGGGGGAAAGAAGAAGAAAACTTGCAGTAGATCACAATAAAAGACAAATACTTCAGAGAAAGCCAAGCATTTGATGGTTTCTGTGATAAACTTCACAGAGGCCTTCCAGCAGAGGTAACATTTCAGGTTGTTCATTCTTTCCATGAGTACTGAAATAAACAATATTTTCTAAATGTATAAAACTCATACCCTTTGACCAAAGCAATCCTACTTCTAGGAATTTATTCTACAGATATATTTGTCCATGTGAGAACTGACGCTTTTTTTCTTGGTTTTGTTTGTTTGTTTATTTATTTATTTATTTTATTGTCTAATGTTTTACATATGTCTCCTTTTCCCCCATTTGACACCCCCCCCGCAGCCATTCCTACCTTGGGCAAGCCCCCACCACCCCAGTGTCTTATGTCCATTGGTTATGCTAATATGCATGCGTACAAGTCCTTTGGTTGATCTCTTCCCTCCCCGCCCCCACCACACACACACCCCTGCCATTTGTCTCTGGATCTATTCTTGTTCATCAATTTATGTTGATCATTATATCCCACAAATGAGTGAGATCATGTGATATTTATCTTTCTCGACTGGCTTATTTCACTTAGCATAATGCTCTCCAGGAGAACTGATGTATTTTATAAGGATTTTTGTTGCAGCATTATTAGTAACTGCAGAAAATTTGAAATAATTTAAATGTCCACTAATACAGGGCTAGTTAAAGAAATAGTACATCTGTTATGTTAAGTGAAATAAGTCAGACAGAGAAAGACAAGTACAGTATGATTTCATGTAAAAAAAACAAAACAGAAACAAATTCATAGATACAGAGAACATTTTGATGGTTGCCAGTGGGAGGGGGGTTGGGGAGATGGGTGTAAAGGGGAAATGGCTAATATCCATAACACTGACACCATCAAAATGCTGGCGAGTGTGTAGAGCAACAGGAACTCTCATTCATTGCTGGTGGGAATGCAGAAAACCGTATAGCCACTTTGGAAGACAGTTTGGCAGTTTCTTACAAAATGAAACATTATGCTAGATCTTGGTATTTACACCAATAAGTTGAAAAGTTATGTCCATACAAAAACCTGCACATAGATGTTTATAGCAGCTTTATTCATAATTGTCAAAGCTTGGAAACAACCATGATGTCCTTCGTTGTCCTTAGGTGAATGAATAAATAAACTGTGGTACATTCAAACAATGGAATATCATTCAGTATGAAAAAGAAATGAGCTATCAAGCCATGAAAAGACATGGGGAGAACTAAAATGCATATTACTATGAAAAAAAGCCAATCTGGGTGCAGCCACTGTGGAAAGCAGTATGGAATTACCTCAAAAAAATTAAAAATGAACTACCATATGACTTAATGATTCCACTTCTGGGAATATATCCGAAGAAACCTGAAATACCAATTTGAAAGAATTTGTGCACCTCTATATTCATTGCAGCGTTATTTACAGTAGCCAAGATTGGGAAGCAGCCCGAGTGTCCATCAGTTGATGAGGGGATAAAAAGCTGTGGTACACCCTAGCTGGTTTTGCTCAGTGGATAGAGCATTGGCTTTCAGACGGAAGGGTCCCAGGTTTGATTCTGGTCAAGGACACAGTCCTGGGCTGCGGCTCAATCCGCAGTAGGGGGCATGCAGGAGGCAGCTTCTATCTCTGTTTCCCTGCCCCTTCCTCTCTGA